GGTGAGACGCGCGCTCAAATAAATACACTCCCCACACACACACACACACACACACACACACACACACACACACACACACACACACACACTAGAGGCGGACGCAGAAGTAGACTTTTGCTCCCTCCCACTCCCCGCAAAAAATAATCTCATCCCCTCCATAGCCCGAGTGATCCCAAACGGCCCCAGTCCTGAATTTGACACAGTCCCACTTCCGTCCCGGAAAATGATTCCAAAGTTGTGAGGACCGTACCCGCTCCCACCCTCCCAGGGAAAATGCCCCGCCCCCAGCTATGACGGCACGCCCACTCTTTCGACCGCAGTCTTTCACTCCATGCTGAGTGCAAATGTTCAAATATCCCTTTGAGAATATTTCTCGCACTTTTGACACCAAGTACTAAAAAAAATAAATAAAGTGTCATTCTTCAACTTCCACCATCCTCATCAACATTAAAATACAGTAACGCAGTAGGCCATAGTGGTCATCCAAAGAGAGGCAGAAGTTTTGTACACATCAACTGTACTTAAAAGTTCAATAAAATTCGTACTTGCATTATTGTTTCGTATTTTTTGGAGGTGAAAACAAGAAAAAAAAGGTCAGTCTTACGACATGAACGTTTTTGTGTGTTTCCGGAAGGTGCCGGGCCCGCCGAGACCTCCGAGGTTGACGACTTCTTTGCCGCCTGCATCGAAGAGGAGGAGCCTGAGGAAAAGGACGAGGGATGGCTGACTGAGTCGTGGGAGCGGCAGGTGGTGCGGCAGTACATGAGCGACAAGGTGCCGCTCTCTCACTCGCTGCTGGACTTCTGGAAGAACAGGTCAGGCGTGCTGCTGCCCGTCGCCAAGAAGTTTCTGTCCATCCCAGCAAGCGCCACGCCGTCGGAACAAGGCTTTGCTCTTGCCGACAGACGCGCCGCACTTAACCCGCAAAACGTGGACGCTTTGTTGTTCCTGCATAGCAACAGCCAAGTATAGGTGACCTCAAACATTCCATGTTTCTTTTTCAACTCTGGACTGTGTTCAGATGTGCTGATGAGTCCATGCGGTTGTTAATAAAGTTTTGATTTGGTTCGTGATCATACCGGTGAGTCAAGATGAGACAATTGGGAGTGGGATGGCGTTAAATTTTACGTGTGCGTGTGTGTGTGTGTGTGTGTGTGTGTGTGTGTGTGTGTGTGTGTGTGTGTGTATAACTGTCGGAAATTTTGCCTGTCGTAATGTCTGTTTCACAGTCTATTGGCTCCCCCTATCGGTGTAAAGTTGGTACTGCAATCACGCAATGAAACTGTCAGTGAACACAGCGATCATGTTTGGCGTAGATGAGACTTCAATTTTGCTTTCTTGACTGCAACCTTCCTCCTATCCTCCCTCCCGCTTTCCATTTTCCCCATTCACTCTTCCTCTCATACCATTCTATTCCCGTACATCCATCCTTCCTACATTCCCCCTTCTTCACTCGCGATGTTTCTCTCTCCTTCCGTGGTTCCTTCCTTCTTCCCTCTCTTTCTTACTTTAATATTCCTGTCCTTCCTTTCATATCACCCTTGATTTCTTTTCATCCATCTTTCCTACTTTCTTTCCTTTCTTCCATATTTCACCGTGTGTCACCGTGTACGTTCCTGTATCATGGCGTCCACCAGGGGGCGCCTTCCCTGAGGCTCAACCTGGGCCAAACAGAGGGCACGGGCCTGCCGCACGTGCGGTGTGGACGCGCCACTGCACCAAGCCTGGCCTATGCGCATGCGCAGCACACACACACACACACACACACACACACACACACACACACACACACACACACGCGCGCGCGCACACACTACCACTTGTTTTTATTTATTTTTTATTGTGAAGGATGGAGGGGGCGTGGCCATCCTTGTGGCGTCACTACCCATCAGGTCGTCGACCACTGAGGGGATGAAGGCAAGAGGAGCCGCTTCACATTGCCTGCACTAAAATAGACATCAATTAATTACAATAAGGTAAGACAACTTGATTTTACGACGGTTATTATTGTAATATATCTATTTGTTATAATATAAAATAAATCAAGTGATGGGCAATGGATGGAGCATGAATGAGAGGAGGGGGCTAATCATCATCAATTGGCTCCATTGGATTGAAGGGATAAGAGACGTTGTTCTTCGTGTGTGGCGACCTCCGCCAAGGAGAAAAAGGAACAAAAAATAAAAGCTTGAAGGTGAACTTGGCACGCACGAGATTCAATCGGTTGGGCGCATTTTGAAAGTCTTTTCATTTTCTACTCGAGCTCTTTTCCTGCCAACGATTAATAACCACGTTCGATGATTACTATCAATTTCTTGTCCACGCTACGTGAAACATACTCGCAGGAAAGGGGAGTTGAATGCTTGCCGAGGGGTTTCATAGAGGAGTGGGGGGGGGCTCCCGCGCTCTGCGTCGTGCGTCAAAATGACCTTGTCATGTGCACTTGTGCATCATTGCTGCTGCCTTACGAATATATCGATCACGATTTGATGGGAGGATCGTGGATATCAAATGTATGGAAATTCGGATGGTATTTTTTTTTAAAAAGGAGGGCGGTCGATATTTGGCAACTTTGACACCACCCTCTCCCCCAGGCCGCTGTCGCTGTTGCTCATTTGCATCCCAGCTTGTGTTCATCTTCACACCAGCACCGCCGTCATCATCATCATCATCATCATCATCATCACCACACACGCAGACTCTCGTTATGACGTCACACACACTCGGGGCATATTTGGCAGTAAATTAGTGGGACACAATGCTTTCTGGATGAAGTTAACGATTTAAAGTTGCCTCTGGCCAGAATGCAACTGGAATAGCCTCGTTCAGTGGTAGGCAACTCTGGTCCCCGAGAGCTGCTCTTCTACCTGTCTCATATTTTTCCCTCCTCCAAGCCGCTTGAGGATTGCTATCAGACCTCGACAGAGCTTGTTGATGATCTGAAAATTGTATCGGGTGCGTTGGAGGAGGGAAACATCTGAAACATTCTGGACTGCGACCCTCGAGGACCAATTCGACCATCCAAAGGCCGAATTCGAGGGCCGCGTAACATAACTTTAGGCGCGCTTTAACCGTACGCTGTTGTCAGAATTCACACAGCTTTCAAATTTGGCCTTCGTTTTTATGGCGACGGGCCCTGAGCAAAGGCTGCTTCGGAGCATACTTTCGTAGCCTGCGTTGCTCCGTTCTTCTTCTACACTTTAACATCTCTTCTTGCGGCGGCACAAAAGACAGTGAAGTGAGAGCCGCTAGGCCTGAAGAGTCGCTACGCCTGTCCGAATTTAATACGGTCAACTCAAGGACAAAATGTTCTTTCCAAGAATTACTCGCAGTAGTCTAAAGACGGTATTGTAATTCATTTTGTGTTGGCGGAATAAGAATGAAGCAGATTCATCCGTTTCCCTCCATTCCCGAAGTTGATGTTTTGTCCGATAGTACCCTCTGCTGTCCACTGTAACTGACGTCAAAGTGACCTCGGGCTCGCACGGCCACCGTCACAGTTGGCCTGTTTGCTGGATTTGGTCACATGATCACTTTGACGTCAATTTCAGTCGACAGCAGAGGGCACTCTCGGACAAAATGGCTGCCCCCTGAATGGATGGATTCTTTTGCTTCATTCGTATTCTACTAACACAACATTCAACACAAGACCGTCCCCATGGCAACCGACATCCAAATTTGCGCTCTTTTGCAATCTTATCAGGCAACTTGGGGGTCATTTTTCTTGGACTTGTGGCATTTGCTGCCTTCGCATCCACATTTGGACATAACGACCTGAAAGGTGGCCGTAAGAATGTTTTTTTGCAGTCGCTGTAATAACAGTGAGGCAAGCGCAAATATGATGACAATGCTGCACAATGTTGACAAGAAAGCCATCATAATTGCACGATAATGTGGTCAAACGTGGTGTCGTGAAGTTAATGTATCTTTTAAATATTCCACTTGGATTTCCCAGAAGAGCTAACGCGCTTCATGCGCTTGTTAAATGTCAGCGGAAAGCGCCGAAAGCTAATCGGGGCGCATGTGAGTGTAACGCTTGAGCTAAGCGCTAACCTGGCTTCGCGGAGGTGCGAGCTGCTGCCCATGAAACGGAATCCAATTGGTTGGCACTCGGCGCCTCTCCAGACGGCACACATTAAACCATCTCAAGGGATCCACTTTGAACTTTTCAAACCCAGCCGTGCCTTTGAACCCCAATTTGAAATCTCAGCCTAGGCTTGAATGTTGAATTTGAAATCCTTCACCTTAATTTTAATGCATGGCCCCGGTTAATTTCCTCATCCTCACTCGCAACCTAACACAGGTATAAAAGCGGATTTGAAAGCCTTAAACCCGTCTTGATATCCTGTTTTGAAACTTGAACGTACTGTTGAAACCCTAACTGAGAGGCCCTAACTGTGGCTTGAAGCCATACTTTGAAAACACTTGAAACCTTTGTTATAATGCTCCCTAATATGTTATCACAACCTTCTTTTGAAACACTGAGCCAGGTTTATACCCAAATTTGAAACCCTAACTTTCAAATTTTGGACCCAAAATGAATAGTGAAACATGGCTCGAATCGAAACCGTGCCTTAAAACCCTACTTTCTAATGCTAATTTGAAACCTTAACCCAAGCTTGAAACCCCGGTTTGAAATTTTAACTGTAAAAGGCCAAATTTTTTTCAGATAACGTACATTTTTACCAATATGGGCGTTCCCCTCTTTGTGACATCAACGCCCTCCTGTTGTTTGTTCAGGGCGGGGCACGCACGAGCAGGAGGGAGCGTATCAGGAGTCGTGGGTGTCGCCTTCAGGAGTCCCCATCAACCCCTCATGCGCTTGGACCGCTCCTGATCCCCAACGCAGCGAGTAGCCAGCACCTCCGCCAGCCGAGATGGACGACGACGGACGTTACCGGGACAACCGCTCTGACTTCATCCGCGGAGCCAAGGACATCGCCAAGGTGGCCAAGAAGCAGGTGGGCAAGAAAATGGGGCGCGGCGTGGACAAGATGGCCGACGAGTACACCCGCCGCTCCTACAAGCGTTTCGAGGAGGAAGACGATGACGACGACTACGCCGGGGTGCCGGTCGGCGAAGACGGCGGCGGTAGAGGCTACTACCGCAACGATAGCCGCGCCAACGATGACGACGCCCACAGTGACTCTACCGAAGGCCACGACGAGGACGACGAGATCTACGAGGGCGAGTACCAGGGCATCCCGCGGGGAGACTCGGGCAAGGCGGACGGCGCGGCGGTGCACGCGCATGCGCAGGTGCAGGCACAGCACTTCCGGGACCTGTCGGCGTATGAAGGCGAGCGCAGGAAGGACCAGGAGGAGCTGGCCCAGCAGTACGAGAGCATCTTGCAAGAGTGCGGCCATGGAAAGTTCCAGTGGACGCTCTACTTCGTGCTGGGTTTGGCACTCATGGCCGACGGCGTGGAGATCTTCGTCGTAGGCTTTGTGCTGCCAAGCGCCGAGAAGGACATGTGCCTGTCGGAACCCAACAAGGGAATGCTGGGTAAGAGTTAGTCCCGTTTCCCTCCACCAAGGTATTTTCCATCTGCAGAGGATTGTTTTCTGGGGACATTTCGACCTGGATGTTCCTGGTGCACACGCTCGCACCTTTCCAAGGAAGTTCCCGATTAATTTAGGCAAGACCTCTGAACCCTAACCACAAACCCTGATCCTAGTTCTACCCAAAACCCGTTACCAAATCCAACCTCGAACCATAATCCTTCCTGTATCATTCCAATATAAGATGTGATCTACCTGTATAGGCTTTCATCCAAGGACATTCGCAATGCTTACGCTAACCCTTTCCAAGGATGTTCCCGATGAATTTAGCCAAGACCCCTGAACCCTAAACACAAACTTTGAGCCTAGTTCTACCCTACACCTTAACCCCTTCCCAAATCCAACCCCTAACCCGAATCTTTTTTTTATATCATTCCAATGTAAACTATGACCTACCCGTATAGGCCTTCATTCGCAATGCTAACGCTAACCCTTTCCAAGGGGGTTCCCAATGCATTTCGTGAAGAATCTAAACTCAACATAAAACCAGAACCTTAACTTTACCACTCACCCAATCCCACACCTTTAACTTAACCCCAAATTTCAACCCTATTCTATTACCTCTACCTAATACCCTAATTTAATTTTAACCCCACCAGTCCCAACCCGAACCTTTTAAACGCTGTTCTATGCAAAACCTTAATTTGACTCAAGCCCAACTGCCTCATGTTGCACGTAAAACCCTACCCCTAACCACTCCTGACCCTCAACCTCTAAAACCTGAACCCTAAACTCCAAAACGCAACCCTTTCGATATAACTCTGGCAAGGATCCACACCTATCTCCAATTCTACCGAAAACTCGAACCGTAATCTCCACCTCATTGCACCTCTCACACTTTTCTCAACATATCTCCCCAAAACCTTAACTTTAGCTCCAGCCTTAACACCTCATGCTACCACAAACTCGAACCTAACCCATAATCCCCGATAACCAACCTTTAACGCTCCTAACCCTCACCCCTGAATTCACCCAAAGTCTGACCCTAAACCTAACCCTAAATTTACTGAAATAAACCCCAGAAACCTTCAATCCCAACCCTTGAATTTAGTCAAGAGTCCACATTGGCCGAGCCGTCCTCGTAAAGCCTATAACCACCTAAAGATGGCCAAAACCCAAAAAACTCAAACCCTCAACCCAAACCAAAACCTCACCTCACCCCAAATGGTGGTCAAGTCACCCACACCTCAACCTCAACCTCAACTCCTTTCCTGACTGACGAATGTAGGTAAGATTCTCCATTGCCCTAGCGCTAAACACCTTGCCCTAACCTACTCGGTGAAGTCTAAACCTCCACCAAGGCCCGATAAAATAATGGCAGCCTGCGCGCTATAAAAGTCACGCTAATAGAAACAAACGGCAGTCTTGATATGACTCACATCCCACCTGCTTCATCCCGGCTGTCATCTATCATCTCTCTCTCGCACACACACACACACACACACACACACACACACACACACACACACGCACACACACACACACACACACACACAGGCGCGCACAGTTATTGACAAGCTGTCAACAGTCTTGTCGCTAATAGAGCCTCCCGCGTGTTCCAGTGAGCTCGTCGGCGCAAAAGGCCGAGCGAGTGTTTGCCATTTTCGCGACTCTCAAGTGTCCAATGTCACTTCTCAACTCAACTGATCCAAATGTGTTGGACCGCTCTTTTCATTGCAAGGGCACACGTCCCGACCATCGTAGTAATCAGCGTTTTCCGTGACAACCGAGCAAAGGTGACATGGACTGTTTTGACAAAAAGATTTATATTTGAAACCCCTTTCCACTCACATCAAACACGATCCAAGAACATTTAACACTGCCCTAAATCCAACGTAAAACTTGGACCTCAACCCACATCCTCGCCCTGAAGGTAACTTTTATCCGTCCCACAAAGCGGGAATTAAAAATTTTCAGCTGCAATAGTGGGTGGAAAAAAATTCTAGATCAGAGGTCACCAACATCGTGCCCACGAGCCCCTTAGCAACACTACGTCGTTAGCTCATCCGTCTTAATGGAGATATGGCTAACTTGCCCACATGGGAGGATGGGCTGACATCATCTCCTATTTGCTCGTTGCCCGGTCCTGGTACGACATCCGCGTGCCCTCCTCCTAAGTTTGCATGGAACCTTTGGTCTCGCTCTGGGAGATGATCTCATACCATCATCATTTGAACCGCTACTGAATAGCCACTTTTTGGCTACTACAAATTATTTGGAGGTAAATAACTCCTTGCTACTGCGCCCGCTAGCTCGTCCCCTTCCATGCTATGGAACTGCACTATTACAAAAGATGCCCTAACCCCTAAACCTGCCTTAATCCTAATGAACATGAACCAACCCTCGGAGTTTGTCAGAGTGCGAGCCTCGTAATTCCCCCGAAATGGCTGCGTCAAACCAAAATGGCCGACTTCCTGTTCCATTTCCAGCTAGTTCCTTTGCATCATTTTGGATTAGCTGCCTGTGAATCGCCACCAAGTGGTTCTTTGAGGGCAGCACGATCAGGTGCCGCAGTTTTGGTTCAAATGTCATGAGCAACATCGTGGAGGAGCTCAGACAATTAGACTCGCTGGTACAAACTGATTTAGTTTCCAGATGTGTAAAGACTCGGTGTCTATTTAAGGGAGACCTTTATTTCGCTCGAGTGCCTGACGCAGCCGCCGTCTATGGCGCAGCGTCGGAGTGACAAGAAGGTGACTTTCACTCTCCTCCTCCGTTGATTGCCGTCTGTGCGTCTGTGCTGGTGTTTCCACGGCGACGGCCATGCTTATTAGCATACTAGCTCATGCGTGTGGGTGTGTGTATTTTACTGTAACGGCCAGCAGTGTGTTAGCGTGAGCGTGTGTGCGCATGTGTGTGTGACTCATGTGCTTCACTCGAGCATGGCAGAGAAACGTGGCGAGACGTCGCCGCAATGCAGCAAAGTGCTGATCAGATGCACATGAGGGTGGCTGGGGGACTATGGGGGGGGCGCTGTGGGGTGACTGTGGGGGGTACCGCCACCCTAAAGCTGGATCAGCATCACTAGGCTACGTTAGCATGGCTAGGACAACTGATGTCCTGTCCAATTTGGGGCATGGATCCTTGAGGACTTTTTGTGCATCCTGTTATGAGACGTGTCCACCCAATCTCATGTCTGTGAATGAAACTGGGATTGGGGCTCATTATTTTTAGTGTCAAAACATCAAAAACGTCGACTGGAATTGGCTTAAAATGGCTGCTTTGAAGCAAAACCTTGAAAAACCTTTTTTCTGCATCCTGACAAAGTAGACATTTCCATTTAATTTTGTGTCCATTGGTGAAACTGGTTTTTGGGGCTCATTATTTTAAGAATCAGAGTCATTTCATTCAACCCAAAATGGCCGCTTCAAGCCAAAATGGCCAACTTCCTGTTCAATTTCTGGGATTGGTCTTTTTTTTTTTTTTTGTGGATCCTATTATGACCGACGTGTCCAACCAATTTCATGTCTGTCAATGAAACCGGTATTGGCGCTCACTATTTTTAGCGTCACACCATCCACTGGAATTGGCTGAAAATGGCTGTGCCATGAGCCAAAACCTTGAAAAACCTTTTTTGTACATCTTGATAAAAGAGACATGTCCATCCATTAAAGTGGTGTTGTGTGCTCATTATTTTTATCATCAAAGCGTCAACGTAGGAACTCACCTCATATGGCTTTTTCCAAGCAAAAAGCTTACTTCTTGTTCCGTTTCGGCCAGGACACCCTTGAAAATGTTATTTTTAGTGTGAAACCTGGATCTGGCCAAAAATGGCTGCTTCAAACCAAAATCTCTGACTTCCTGTTTTATTTTGGCTCCCTGACACTTTTTCGTGGATGTTTGACATGTCCACTCATGTTCATGTCCATCAGGATGGTGTTCAGGACCCCTAAAATACAGTGTACACATAATCATCAAGATTGACATACTATGGGTTTGAAGCCACAAAAAAATAAATAAATAAATAAATAAAATAATCTTGGACAACAAAACACCACCTGTACCAACCTACGTTTGCCGTCACACTGATGTCACGAGACAAACCAAATGATGAAGAAAAGCAGCAATGACAGCAGCGTGATGATGAAGGGGGCGAGGCTGAGGGGGAAGAGCAGCTGAGCATCTCTGTAGGCTCGGAAAGGATGTGGGGGGAGGGGAAAAAAGAGAAAAAGGGGACGACGATGGAGTCTGTGACAACGATGCTGAAAAGCTCCAGGCCGTGTGTGCGCGTGTGTCTGTGTGAGGATGTGTGTCTCACTGAAGGCTAGTGTGTCGTGCAGTGTGGGGGCGGGGTAACGCGTGAGGGACATGGGTGACTATAAATAGTCATGGAGTGTTCCCTCTCTCCTCAGCCGAGGATCTTTGGCTTCTGGATGTTGTTCGGCCATCACGACCACGGCAGGCCTCGGCAAGGGCGACCCAAAGGCGATTTTTTTTTTTTTTGAGTCACTGGTGTAGTTCTTGTAAATACATTTTTTAAAAATATACTTTACCTTCGTGGTGATCTGAATACACAACAACGTCGAGTTCGCTTCTCGGATTTTGTCCTCGGGGTGGATCAGCTTTTGTCTGAGGGTCTTAGTGGGTTATTCTGACAAACCAGCTACATAACAGGCCTCCTTATTTTACTTTCTGTCTCAGTCTTTAAACTCTGGTGGAGTGGCAAGCCTGATTTAGGATGCAAATTAGCAAACAAGACCTGCAAAAGTACACCTTATAGCTGATTTTTTTTTGTGGCTACTTTTAAAAAAAAATACAAGCCCTATATTTTACCCAAGATGGACAAATTAGCAAACAAGAACTGAAAAAGTACACCTTATAGCTGATTTTTTTGTGGCTACTTTAAAAAAAATACAAGCCTTATAATTTACCCAAGATGGCCGCTTCAAATCAAAGTGGCCCACTTCCTGTTAAATGTGGTGGGACTCAGATCCATCAGACTTTTTCGTACATCATGTTACAAATTCGTCCAAATTGTGGCTTGACAGGCGGGCCGGTGTTTGATTGGTTAACACGTCGACCTTACAGTTCAGAGGAACCGGGTTCGATTCCAGCTCCGGCCTTCCTGTGTGGAGTTTGCATGTTCTCCCCGTGCCTGCGTGGGTTTTCTCCGGGTAATCCGGTTTCCTCC